TCAATATTAGTATTCCTTTTGAATACTTTAAACCCAGATCAATATTATTCTGGATCAAAGTCCATCTGAATTGGACAGTTCATGGACAACTCATCTTAGATAATGGTCAAAACATTGTTGAATTCTGAAAGATACCCTATATTCTTCACTATGTAGGTAGTCCTTGACTTACGACCACAATTAAGCCCAATATTCCAATTGTCAAACAAGATGGTTGTTAAGTGTGTTCTGCCCCATTTTACAACCTTTCTTGCCGTGCTTGTTAAGTGAGTCACTGCAGATGTTAAAAAAAATAACATGGCCATTATGTGAATCTGGCTTCCTCATTGCTTGCCATAAGGTCGCAAAAAGTGATTATACCACCCCAGGACACTGCAACCATCATAAATAAGAGTCAGTTGCACATGCATCTAAACTTTGATCATATGATCATGGAGATGCTGCAAACATTGTAAATGTGAAAATCATTCCTAAGTCTAAACAAACTGCTGTAAGTCGAGGACTATCTGTAGTTTACATTCCAAAATAAACTGTGATGCCAATAATTCCAAAGATCACAATATAATCATAATTCATCCATATGTCAATAGAAATGATATAAAATCAGCAAATAAAGTTAGGAAAGCATACAAAGAGCATATGATCTCTCTTCGTTTGTGTTGGAACTTCAATTCCCAAATAGTATGGTTGACAGTGGTGGATTAAGGCTCACTAGTGCCCTAAGCTCTGACCAATCTTGGTGCCCTCCCCGCTTTGTACATACTCTACAAATGAAGCCATATTCTCAACTTTATGGTGCCCACTTTGGGCCTGGTGCCCTAAGCACGTGCTTAGTCTGCTTAATGGTTAATACACCCCTGGTGGCTGAGGAATTTCTGTAGATACAGGTAGTCCTCGACTTACAACCATTGGTTCAGTGATCTTTCAAAGTTACATCACTGAAAAATTTGACTTATGACCAATTTTCATACTTACAGCATTGCAGCAACCCCAGTCACATGATCAAAATTTGCCTGGCAACTGGTTCATATCTATGACAGTTGCAGCATCCCGGAGCCATGTGATCCCATTTTGTGACCTTCTGACAAGCAAAGGTAACGGGGAAGCCAGATTCACTTAACAACTGTGTTACTAACTTAACAACTGCAGTGATTCACTTAACAACTGAGGCAAGAAAGATGGTAAAATGGGGCAAAACTCACTTAACTGTCTTGTTTAACAACAAAATATTTGGGCTCAATTGTGATCGTAAGTAAGTTGAGGACTACCTGTACAGGCAGTCCTCCATTTATGACCACAATGGAGCCCAGAATTTATGTTGCTAAGTGAGAAATTTGTTAAGTGAGTTTAGCTCCATTTTGGGACTTTTCTTGCCACATTTGTTAAGTGAATCACTAGAATTGCTAAGTTAGTAACATGGCTGTTAAGTGAATCTGGTTTCCTCACTGACTTTGCTTTTCAGAAAGTCGTGAAATGGGATCACACGACCCCAGGATGCTGCAACCGTCATAACTGTGAGTAGTTGTCAAGCATCTGAATGTAAATCATGTGACCACGGGGACGCTGCAATGGTCACAAGTGTGAAAAATGGCCATAATTAACTTTTTTCAGTGCCGCTGCAACTCCAAAGGTCGCTAAATGAACTATTGCAAGTGGAGGACTACCTGTATTACTACAACCGGTATCTCACCTTCTTCTGGAAAGCCAAGGTTGTCAGGAAATTGCGCATATATATATATTTACATCTTTATTTGCAGCAAACTAGATAGTCAGGCAAACAGGAACATCCTGAGGTAAATCACAGAGCCCATGGGAAGAAAAAGGCGGGAAAAATGGGAACCTCCCCCTCCACACCCATGGCGACCAATCGTAGTGCAGACTGCCTCCAGCAGGAGCCAATCGCCTGCTACCAACCAGCCATAACTGTGTGTTTTCTGGCTCACTGCTCCAGCTACTAAATTTAAATATTGTAACAAAGGTGAACTCAAAGGTTTTCACTCAACCATTCCATGAGGTTGCTCGGACTAAGAAATTTCGAACGATTTAAGTCCCAGAGTTAACTGTAACAGCATTGCCAAAAAGGCATTAAGAGTTGTTAACCTAATTTTGCGAAGCTTCTTCTCCGGTAACATTGAATTGTTAACTAGGGCATACAAAACCTTTGCCAGACCAATTCTCGAATACAGCTCGTTCACCTGGAACCCGTACTGTATATCGGACATTAACACAATTGAGCGAGTCCAGATGTATTTCACAAGAAGAGTACTCCACTCCTCTGTTTGCAATAGAATACCTTATGCTACCAGGCTCGAAATTTTGGACCTGGACAACCTAGAACTACCCCGCCTACAATCTGACCTAAGCTTAGTACACAAAACTGTCTACTACGACATCCTACCTGTCAACGACTACTTCAGCTTCAACCGCAATAATACACAGGCAAACAACAGATACAAACTCAAAGTAAACCTCCCCAAACTCGATTGCAGAAAATACGACTTCAGCAACAGAGTGGTCAATGCCTGGAACTCACTACCTGACTCTGTTGTTACATCCTCAAACCCCCAAAACTTTAACCTTAAACTGTCTACTGTGGACCTCACTCCATTCCTAAGAGGACTGTAAGGGGGCATGCATAAGAGCACCAGCGTACCTACCATCCCTGTCCTATTGTCCCCATTTATCCATTTATTCGTACTTGTTTATGATATATAGATATTTATACCTATTTATACTTATATGTTTATATGTTATATTCATACTTATACTTGTTTTCTCATACATGCTTGACAAACAAACAAATATAAAATAAAATAAAAAATAAAATAATAAAATAAAATAATAAAATAAAATAAAATAAAATAAAATAAAATAAAATAAAATAAAAAAATAAAATAATAAAATAAAATAATAAAATAAAATAAAATAAAATAAAATAAAATAAAATAAAATAAAATAAAATAAAATAAAATAAAATAAAATAATAAAATAAAATAAAATAAATAAAATAAATAATAAAATAAAATAAAATAATAAAATAAAATAATGATTGGCCGAAAGTCGAGCAAACTTCCCAAGGGGGTCTATCATCTCAGATCTCCCTTATCCCAGCTCAGGATTCTCTGCCACCCGACCCCCGTCCTCCGTGCCAAACAGTCATTCGATAAGAATTTGTGGTCAGTTAACTTCACAACTTCCTACACTATGATCACATACCCACCTGCCGGTCGGTTGAAGAAAATTAAGTAATTTGAAGCATTGCCTTCAAGAGCTTTCTGGAAGTCAGCAACACTGTTGGGGATGTGGGGGGTGGGGGGAAAATAGGAATAACAAAAGTTAAAGAAGGATGTTTTGAAGTTGGGAAGAGACCCTCTTGTTGAGTCTCCCAAAGAATGTTTTTAGCACTGAGAAAAAAAAGTTTGCATTTTCAGGGCCAGTTAAGAGTACATAGGTTTCTTAGCATTTTTAAATTCCCGCAAAATATGCTCCGTTTGCTGTATTTGTTCACAGCTCAAATCAGTGATAAAATTCAACTTTAAAAGGCTAAGCCATGCATTCAGCTTCCTTGGAATAAGGGAGGAAACTCACCTGGAGGTCACTGTATGAAGAGGAGCCCCAAGAGTTATCTTGAGCTGCTGACGAAATCCTATGTTGAAAAATTTGTATCAGTCACAACCCTTGATTCAAATAATGACTGACCAAACATTTGGTGGAAGTCTTGCCTAAGTGGTAGAGCATGAACTCCATCACTACCAAAATAGCTACTCACAAGTGCACAGAAAACCTTTTACAAAATTTTCATGGTTTCCATCAAAAAGTAGAACTTTTAAAACCTTGGATTTATCAACCATGGCTGCAGAACGTTTGATGACCACTAGATGGTAGCAGGGTGGCACAAAACCCTTACATTTTATTTATTAATTAAATTTATTTGCTGCCCATTCCTATTGAAATGGATCTGAATGGCAGCTTTGCTGCCGTCTAGTGATTCCTACAGCTCAGAACTGCTGGTCCTACCCTGTATTCCAGGAATTAATAAATTCCCATCTGAATTGTTAGATTGGCCTATTGGCAAATGAGAACTTGAACAAAGCTATTCTTTCTTACTAAAATCAGATTGAGGTAAACCTCCCTTCCTCAGAATACTTTGTGCACTCCTAGGAGAAGAACTGGAAAACAACACACCCAGATATCTATAACCAATGGTGGGATTAAAAAACATTTACTACCGGTTCTGTGGGCATGGCTTGGTGGGCATGGCCATGTGACTGGGTGGGCATGGCTTTTTTTTTTTTTGCAGCCCCCACCTGTTTTGGGACCTTCCTAGCCTCAGAAGAGCCTGGGGGGGGGG